TTTTAAAAATTTTACCCAAAAGGTAGCACACTATACACACTGTTCTGTCCCTTTTTTCCCATAGGGTAGCTGGACTACCTCTTCATTTTTTTTTTTAACGATTGTATGGTACCACATTACAGACATAAACCATATTTTACCTACCCAGTTTCTAATTCATGTATATTTAGGTTGTGTCTTATATTTTGCTAATACTGATGAGTAACCTTGTGTATATGTCATTTCGTAACTATGTAAGGGTATTCATAAGTTAAATTCCTAGAAGGAGTAGAATTTCAGGATCAAAGGGTATGATTTTGTAATTCTGAGGAATGTCGTCAAATTGCCACCCATAAGGGTTGTACAAATTTACACTCCTACTAGTAATGGTTGAGAGTGCCTGTTTCCTTACTGCTTTGTCATTAGAGTATACTATTGAATTTCCAGGTTTCTGCCTATCTGTTAGGTGGAAATTGTATCTCAGAGTAGTTCTGATTTGCATATTTCTTTTGCGTTACTGTAAGCTTCTTTTCATATGTTTTTGTTTCCTCATATTGCCGGCTTATATTTTTTGCCCATTTTCTAGTGAGTTGGTTTTTCATTTTTTTGATTAGTCCTTTGTTGGTGATATGAGGAGTAGCTAGTATTTTTCTTATTTAGACATTTGTCTTTTGATTTCACTCCTGGTGGACTGGAGTTGGGGGCAGGCAGAGGTTTTTTATTTTTATGTAGTCAAAAAATTCCTCTTACAATTCCTCTTATGACTAAAATTTTGAATCAGAAAGACCTTTACTCCAAGGGTATAGAGAAATTATGTTTTCTGTAACTATTAACTTCCTTGTTCTCTGTATAAATCTTCACCTCCTTTGTAGTTTATTTTGGATAATCTCTAGGTCCATTTATGTTGCTGCAAATCCACCCCACTTTTAAATTATGGTAAACTACGCATAACATAAAATTTACCATCTTAACCATTTTTAAGTATCCAGTTCAGTAGCGTTAAGTACATTCACATTGTTGTGAGTCACTGTCATCCTCCCCTGTTGATCTTTTTGATCACTCCTGTAGCATAATGTTGGCTTTGAAATTCACTGGTGTTGCCTGTAGCATTCTTCTTGTTATTGAACCATTCCTTTGATTACTATTTTTATAATAATTTTGTGGAGATCTGCCAGCTTGTCTGGGTGTGGAAGCATACTGACGAGGTGCAGAAGCTATTTAGAGTTCATACTGGATCTTGGGCTGTTACTGGTAATTTGGAGTCCCTCATTCAATGCATATGGCTTGTTAGCATTAATTTCAGTTCTGCGTAAACTATTTTGTGCTGCCCAGACTGATGCTCATCTGCACGTCGTGCTTATCACTTGAGGCCTCATGACATGGTTCTATGGTTTGATGTTCTTTTCGACGACTAGACGCTTTGCTAGCCAGGGATCATTACCCATGAGGATGGGGCTGTGAGTCTGTCTCTTTCTCTGTGGCAGAGGGCACAGGGTGTACAAAGCCTCTGCTGGGGAAGGAGCTTGATTTGCTCAAGGAACAGAGCGAGGCCTGGGTGGCTGGGGATGAGGAGCAAGGGGGCGTTAGTGTGAGACGAAACTGCACGGGTCAGGTACTGTGGGGCTGTGTAGGCGTGAGGTTCTGCGCTGTGAATAGAACTCTTAAAAGATTTTAACCAAAGCTGGGAGTGGACGGAGTCTTATATGTGCTTTTTAAGAAGATCACAATGGCTGCTGGATGGAGAGAAACGGATTCTAGAAGAGTATTCGAAGCAGGGAAATATGCTGGGGTGGTTGGTGCACGTGTAATCCAGGCAGCAGTGCTATCCTGACTTATTTCCCCTCTCTCAATCCCTCTCTCTCTCTTTTTTAAAAACTAAATCCACATTGTGACCATCTGCAGCACAACTGAAGATAACTTGCCAGGTTTGCTCCATGGAAAAGTGACACTTCTCAGAATGTGTAAACATCAGAACGATGGGTTCATTAATATCATACTTTAACCAAGCTAATTAACCCCAGGCTAAATATAGTTTGCATATGAAACTCAAAAGTTCATTGTCAACTATCTTTAGACATTCCGGTGAGGGTAAATGAACTTTAATTATATAGGATTTAGTGAATTCAGAAAGATATTTATATGCCTATTTTATATGTGAAGAATAAGATGTGCAGTTGTTAATCGTACCAAAATAAAAAGCAGAACGTTTGTCAGTTTCTCCTTACTATGAGCACTGTTTTGTCCACATCATCCTTTTAAAAAGTTTAATTCCTTCCAAAGCCAATATAACTTAAGGGTCTAGATGAAATCTGAGGGTTGTATGCACATTTTTGGCATGTTATTTTGGTGTCCCAGTTGAAAGGTCGTGTAATTCTTCCTGTGATTGCCTCTGATGCCCCAGGACTGGGAAAAGGCCCCTCTTATGTGCTCTTATAAAACCTTATACCTTCTCCTCTGTTAAGCGCTGATCATGCTGAATTATAACACTCTTGGAGGACAAAGATGAAGACTGGGGAGAAAGAAGGCAAATGCAGGGGGGAATCTGGAGAAGCAAGCTTGAAGGAACTTGAGGCAAGAGTGAAATTTCTGTGAAGTCTTACGAATCTTCTGTTTCAGTGCATAAGAGAGTTTTGTTTTCATGGGGAATCGCACTTTAAATGACGAAACACCCAGTAAGATTGACATTACAGGGAGCTGTGCACTGTTTGCCCTGCGGCTTCGTCTATTTCCAGTGGGAGGAGTTACAGTTCTGTAGTATTTTGTGAACTTGAAGGTTTCTATGTTGGCTTTAGGGGGTGGCATCTATACCTACATGATTAGACTTTGTGAATTTTAAAAAACAGTTCAATATATTTTCTTTCTTTTTTTTTTTTGAGGTACAGTTGATGTACAATATTACTCAAGTTTCAGGTGTACAACATAGTGAGTCACAATTTTTTTAAGGTTACATTCCACTTATAAAATATTGGCTATATTCTGTGTGTTGTACAATATAGCCTTGTGGCTTATTTATTTTATACATAGTAGTTTGTACCTCTTAATTCCCTACCCCTAAATAAGGTATTTACTTTGAGTGTAAAATTTTGAAAGGACTTCAGATCCTTGTTTCGTCAGTGTAACATTACCCTGACTCCTTGCCTTGTCAGACTCTCTAAGCTTGGTCTTTTCATCCCTTTTGGAGTCTTCCTTATTCTCACTACTCTGGCTTACTCCTTACTTCTGCTCTTTCTAGCTCATTTCTTGGCTATTTCCCCTTCCTCCCATGAGCTACGTATAGGTATGTAAAAGTTTCCTCCTCAGTTCTGATCCTTTCTGTCAACTTACTCTTGGAACATTTGCCAGTTCTTAAACTCTGAAGTTCTGGATGACTCCACAACCTTTCACCTTGGGCCTCTGTCCCCCAGCCCTG